CTCTTTCAAAAATAGCACGTAGTTTAGACGTACCCGTAAAGTAACCATAATTAAAAATATGCTTCAAAAAGCCATAGTGTGTTGTTTTTCTGATATTTCAAAAAGGGAGCAATGATGAACGTTCTGTTTTTAACTTTGCCGTCGATTAGGTGTGCATTGTGCAGAAGAGAGATACCAAGAAAATGTATGCCATGAAATACATGAATAAACAAAAGTGCATCGAGAGAGATGAAGTCCGGAATGTCTTTCGGGAACTACAGATCATGCAGGGCCTTGAGCATCCCTTCCTAGTCAATCTGTGGTAAGCAAACCTTTAACATTTTATCATGCTCCTTTTGTTTTATTGCTGAATCAATTCAAATTCTAGGGAATGAAATCTTGAAAGGATTCTTGGACTTTTTTTTAACATCTTATTTTTTTCTGTAGGTTTGCCTCCATCAATATTCTAAAGGTTCCCTTTCATGTTGGAATGATTAAACATAATAATTTTCCTTCTTTACCTTCTAGTTTGCTTTCTCTCTAAATTGCTAAAGTGTGCAAAAAAAGTTGGTCTCCTTTGGTTTTTCATTTTCTTTTATGGTAATTTGCTGGGAGTTTGATTACAAGACTTTGATATAATGAAATTATATTGTAAATACTTATAAGGATAAAATAGTTCCTTGTTCAAAGTTGGTGCAGCTGAAAATAAAGGAAGAAGTTTTTTGTCTAAGGAGAATTAACTAGGCGGCACATGAAATTGAAATTCTGGATCAGATGCTGTTTATATATAATACTCACATGCTCATGCACATACAACTAAATTGGTCAATGGGCCATTCCTTCCCTATCTCATCTTTCCAATGCCAAATACAATGCATCTTTGGAAGCATCTCTCCTTTTTAATGTCTTTAAGGGCTTTTTTCTACTAAATGAAAAGGCTGTTTTCTCCTCTGGTTCACCACTGTACAATGTACATTGTACAACTACAGCAAATTATCTAGGTATTTTAGAAAGATGTTTAAAAGATTGAGAGTACTGGATGTTGTAGGCAGAAGTTATAATGAAAATAGAGATCTGAAGTTTGAATGTAGCTGGGAGTTGCGTTAATCTGGAAATAAGGAGAGTAATAGGTGTCATTCAACAGGTGGCGAGGGAAAGTTCAAAACCCTGACTCCAGTGAAGATTCAAGTACAGATTGAACCTCTGAAATCTGGGATTTTCTGGTCCGGCAGCATCCGTGGTCCAGCAGGACCCTGGATGTTTTTGAATCAGAGAGCCCCAGTGCCTGGGAGTGTGAACCTCATCCCTGGGGAGCCCCGGTTGGTGTGGGAGAAGCGGGGCTGCGCAGCTGGGTGGGTGGGGGGGTGGGTGGGGCAGCAGTGAGCCCCATCCCTGGGGATCTTCACTTGGGCAGGGGAGAAGCGGAGCTGTGGAAGTTGAGGAGCTCCAGCCATGGGGAGTTCTGGCCGGGTGGAGCAGCAGCGGGACCAGTGAGTGGCAAAAGCAGGGCAGCTGGCAAGCCCTGTCTTTGGGGATCCCTTGTCAGGTGGGGAAGAAGCAAGGTAAAAATGGCTGGGGAGCTCTGTCCTGGGGAACTCCAGCAGGCCAGAGGCCAAGTCCAAGCCCTGCAGGCTGGAGCCCAGTGGCAGAGAGAATCATAGAATAATAGGACTGGAAGGGACCTCAAGGCAGGACCAAGCTCCATCTACACCATCCCTGACAGATGTCTATCTAACCTGTTCTTAAATATCTCCAGAGAGGGAGATTCCACCACCTCCTTTGGCAATTTATTCCAATATTTGACCACCCTGACAGTTAGGAATTTTTTCCTAATGTCCAATCTAATCCTCCCCTGCTGCACTTTAAGCCCATTACTCCTTGTCCTGTCCTCAGAAACCAAGAGGAACAAATTTTCTCCTTCCTCCTTGTGACACCCTTTTAGATACTTGAAAACCGCTATCATGTCCCCCCTTAATCTTCTTTTTTCCAAACTAAACAAGCCCAGTTCATGAAGCCTGGCTTCATAGGTCATGTTCTCTAAACCTTTAATCATTCTTGTCGCTCTTCTCTGTACCCTTTCCAATTTCTCCACATCTTTCTTGAAATGTGGCGCCCACAATTGGACACAGTACTCCAGCTGAGGCCTAACTAGTGCAGAGTAGAGCGGCAGAATGACTGGAGGCTGGAGTGGAGCCAACTGCAGGGAGGAGGAGTGTCCTGGGAGGCCAGTGGGAGGGGACCTCTCCACATCTGGCAAATTCCCTGTCGGCATGGGTCAGGTCCTGAGGGTGCCGGACAAGGGAGGTCCAACCTGTAGTTTCATAGATGCGGCAATTGGGGAAGTATTTTGTGAGTTGATTAGTTCTAGCTCCCTGGGTATAAAATCTCTCGTTTCCCAAATTACTCTTCTGTTTTGGAAATGGAATTAAAGGCTGGGAATAGTATTCAGACATCTATCCCTCCCCAAGTACTTTCATCCCATGGTGGATTTTAGAATTTTTCAGCCAAGAGATAATGAATGGATCCAGATATGCCTCTGGGGATTTCATAAACTACACTACTTATGTTCCAGAACTCTGGAAATGACATGCAAGCTTTTCACCTCAGATCTGAAAATAACCTGCATGGGTTACTATAGGGATAAAATCATCAGCTACCAGAGGGTAAGTTCAGGGGCTGTGGGTGTCCACGTGGTGGGCAACAGCCTGCTGTTTGTGCTGTAGCATGCAGCTAGTTCTGCTTTCCTGGGAGCTCCAGCGTTAGTTGCAGCAGCAGAAATGCAGCAAAATTCAATGTTAGGCATAAAGAGAGATCACAGGCTTGGTTCAGTGGCAAAGATGCTCAGCCTGGTTTATTGTCACCAAAGTACAGTACTGGAGCCCCATGGGAGCTATAGGTACACTGACATATGTATGTATGTGGCAAGGTACCACTTCCATTGGCACACCAGGATGCGGTCTCCTAGACAGTAGTAGTACAAATGCCTCTCCTGTGACTGGTCTTTTTACACATTGATACAAACAAGTTATGAATTACCCTCCAGGGGTTGATAGCTACCACCTTTATTCTTACAATGTACCTGGTAGTTTCAATGTAATATCCTCATCCATTATCCTGTCACCCCTCCTTACCTTTGTGAGGGTTCAGTATGCTCTTGTACCATCTCTAAGAATGTGTTGATATTGTTACTTGAGAACCCTGTTTGCTTCTGTACCATCCTATCAGATCAGGACTGTGCTTACTTGGTTAGCAGACACCCAATTCACTTTTATTAAAGCTAATGTTAGTCTGTATAAAACACAGGGTAATAAAAGAGTCTGTATGTTTGTGTATAGTGCTTAGGTTATCTACAGATACAAAGTTTGTTTGAAAAGTAATCCAATACATAGAGTATGTAATCAGCAATAATCTATATTTAGTCGAATAATTTTAACAACGCAGTTTAGATATTAGCACCCAATTATTTGGGTACATTAGTCATAAAAAGTTATCCAGAGAGTTGGTTGCATAAAGCAGCTATATCAATAAATGAAGACTGACCCCCAGTAAATGAGAATTTAGGGTACATTGTCTGTTAAAAAATGCAGTCCATCAGGAAAGTATTTTAGTTGCTTTCTGAACTACAGGAAACTTCAGCAATATTAATAATGGATCAGTCACAGACATCAAACATCTGTTGTGAAACAAATTGTATGCCAGGTTTTGATCTCATAACAGTGAGACTAAGTTATCACAGAATTATAATGCCTGACAAATTCCTCATTATTTTTCTTTTCATGACAGATTAAAACTGGATCAGGCAATACCAAAGAATGAATTCATTTTCATGACATGTTTTGATGATAAATAATTAATCTGTTCTCACACTCCTGGGACCAAAATCTCAGGATCTGAAGATGATAGATGTATCTTGTATACATGTTACCGTAATGGAGCTAGAGAAGTTTCTTATATGATACAGGGAAATTTCAGGGCTAAAGAAAGACAAAAAGAAAAACAACAACAAAATCCCCAAAGACCTATATGATAAAGATGTTTAACAATGATCTAAAATTGGCCAATAGAGTATAAACTTCTATCTAAACTGCTTATATTATCTCTATTACTCCAGGACACTTGCACCTCATAATTGTTGACATATTTATACTCAGCTCTTCTGTGAAGTATGGAAATGTTTGTAAAATGGGGCTGTGAGCTACCCTGAGGTTAAGTGATTCACCAAAGGTCACACAGGAAATCTGTGGCAGAGCAGGAACTTCAAACCTAATCTCCCAGTACCAGGCTAGTGCCCTAAGCATTAGATCATCTTTCTTTGGACATAGACAACATACTTTCAGAATCCTAAAAATATTTGATTTCTCAAGTTTCTATAATTGTGGGGTTTTGTAGTTTGTTCCATATTATTACAGTCCTTGTTTGTGTAATGCAGTTGTGTCTGAAGCTCATAAGATATCCCACTTGGAGTCATTGTGGATAGTTCTCTGAAAACATCCACTCAGTGAGCAGTGGCAGTCAAAAAAGCAAATAGAATGTTAGGAATCATTAAAAAAGGGATAGAGAATAAGACAGAAGATATCTTATTGCCTCTATATAAAACTATAGTAGGCCCACATCTTGAGTACTGCATACAGATGTGGTCGCCTCATCTCAAAAAAGATATATTGGCATTGGAAAAGGTTCGGAAAAGGGCAACAGAAATGAGTAGGGGTTTGGAATGGGTTATATATGAAGAGAGATTCAAAAGACTTGGAATTTTCAGCTTAGAAAAGAGGAGACGAAGGGGAGATATGATAAATGCTTTTTTTTGTGATGGTACTGCCCGGTACACAGTACCGGCACCTCCAGTCAGAGCTTACCTGGAAAGAATGGAGAGTACCGGCACCTCTGTAATGAAAATGGCCGACAGTTAGCTGGGTCTTAAAAAGTACTGGCACCGGGTTTTTTTATTACAAAAAAAGCACTGGATATGACAGAGGTCTATAAAATCGTGATTGGTGTGGAGAAAGTGAATAAGGAAAAATTATTTACTTATTCCCACAATATATGAACTAGGGGTCACCAAATGAAATTAATAGGCATTAGGTTTAAAATAAACAAAAATAAGTTTTTCTTCACTCAGCGCACAGTCAACCTGTGGAATTCCTTGCAAGAGGATGTGGTGAAGGCTAGGACTACATCAGGGTTCAAAAAAGAGCTAGATAGATTCATGGAGGTTAGGTTCATCAATGGCTATTATCCAGGATGGGTAGGAATGGTATCCCTAGCCTAGAGGTGGGTGATAGGAGAGGAATCACGTGATGATTATTTGTTGTGTTCCCTCTC